CAGAGGGAGAGAGAGTAGACTCCCTGCTGTGCAGGGAGCCCAACGTGGGGCTCAATTCTGGGACCCTGGGATCATGACCTGAGCCGAAGGCAGCCGCTTAACGGACAGCCACTGGTGTGCCCCTCCAGCTTCTTTTTCACGTAAAGGGTGCTGGCCACAGGGTATCCCTGCTCAGTGTCTAAGGCTGATGTTGGGGAGAAGCCACTCCTTCAGGAGGGCACAATGGGCTCTCACTGCGCACAACCGACCTAGCCCTCCGCCCTCATTTTTTATCGTCCTCGCCCCTGCAATAGATCGTCTACATTTCCCTTCTGTTCTGGTTTGGTTGATCCAAAATTCTTAGGGTTTTATTTTTTTTTAAAGGTTTTATTTATTTATTTATTTATTTATTTATTTATTTATTTATTTGACACAGAGAGACACTGCGAGAGAGGGAACACAAGCAGAGGGAGTGGGAGAGGGAGAAGCAGGCTTCCCGCGGAGCACAGAGCCCGATGAGGGGCTCGATCCCGGGTCCCTGGGATCATGACCTGAGCCGAAGGCAGACGCTTAACGACTGAGCCACCCAGGCGCCCCAATTCTTAAGGTTTTAAAGAGTGGTTTTGTTCCTCTTTAAAGATAAAAGGTCATAATAGGGTAATAAATACATTCTGATTTATTTATACAATGAATTACTATAGAGTCGTTAAAATGGATAAATTAGATCCACCAATGGCAATACAGAAAAAGGCACATTGCAGAGTGATATGAGAGCATTTATATAAAATTTTAAAACACTCAAAGCAAAACTTTATTTTGCTTATGATGACACCTAAGTGTAATAATGCATAAAATCGTGAACTGGAAGACTCCCACCAGAGCCCAGAGCAGAACGGCCACTCGGGAAGGAACGAGGACAACGAAGAGGTCTTTTGAATTTTTGTCCTGTTTCTGTTTTATGTAAGAAATGACAGGAGACAGAGAAATAAAGCCCATGGCCCACAATTAGCCATACACTTTAAAAAATAAGGCTACCTCTCTCTCTCTGTCAAATAAATCAATAAAATCTTTAAAAAAAAAAAAAAGGAATCCCACTTCTGATAAGGACATCAACGTCACAAAAACCAGAGCTCCCATAGTAACAATGGTGGAAAGAACATAATCTTATCTTTCTTTAAAGCCATCAAGGAGTTATAGAACTTTTAAAAATAAAAAAATAAAAGAAAGGACAAAAAACAAAAAAGAAGAAGGGCCGAAACCTATGATGTCTGCTATGGTAGCCGCTAGTGGCTAGCTCTTGAAATGTGGTCGGTCCTGACTGAGTTGTGCCGCACATGCAAAATACACACCAGATTCCGAAGACACAGTATGAGAAAAGAATGCAAAATAGTGCATTAATGATTTTTCTACTGATTACATGTTACTATAACTTTTTTAATTTTTAATTATGGTAAGAGACACATAGCATAAAATTTCCCATCTAACCATTTTTAAGTGTACAGCTCCATGGCACTAAGCACATTCACACCAGAAGCATGTACAACTATCACCTCAGACATCGTAGAGGGAAAGCAAGAGGGGACTAAGCTCCTGTGAAAGTCACCGGTCTGCGACAAGGGTTAAAAGTTTCCATGAGCTTGGAGACAAATATCTCCTTCTGGGGAAGAGAATGAATGAGAGATAAGAGCCGTGAGGGAGTAATGGTTGCCTGGCCAAAATCAGCAGTAACGATTTAAAGCCTGCTTGCCCAAGTATTTCTGTTTTCCAGGAGCCCTAGAAGAATGTCGACCATGAAGAAAAGCATCTTGTGATTGTCTTGTGTCCACTAAAAAGTGACGCCCACAAAAAAAATAATAAATAAATAAAAAGGGACGCCCACAAGATAATGACCGTGGGACTGAAGGGACGCTTCCCCATTCCCAGCCCCTCACCCTTTGGAAAAGTGCCTTTATAAGCCTCGCAACGCTACCGAGGCGGGTAGCGACATTCCTCTGTCTTGTCGGCCCCTTTTATACAAGCTATCTCTAATAAACTCCACCTGTTTTCTTTCTCTCAAGTTCAGTCTTCATTTCTATGACATTGAGACTCAGGAACCTAGCCTCGGGGGTTAGGTAACACCACCAACCATCTCCAGAACTCACACGTCCTCCCAAACTGAAACTGTCCCCATTAACCAAAACTTCCCATACCCTCCTCCCCCCAACCCCTGACAGCCATCCTTCTACTTTTTTGTCTTTATGAACAGAACTACTCTAAGGATCTCATATAACTGGAATCATACATGGCTGGCTCAGACAGAAGAGCAGATGACCTTTCCTTTTTTAAGATTTTTTTTTTTTTAATTTGACACAGAGAGAGAAATAGAGAGACAGTGCACAAGCAGGGCGAGTGGAAATCAGAGGGAGAGGCAGAAGCAGGCGCCCCACTGAGCAGGGAGCCCAGCACCCTGGGGATCATGACTGAGCCACCCAGGTGCCCCTCTACCTTTTTTTTTTTTTAATCAGAACAACCAGTATTCACTGTTTGGATGAGAACGACAATAAATGATTTTTTTTAAAAATGACACACATAACACTTATTTAGAGACTTACTTAATAAACAGTCCACCTTTCAATATTAGCTCTTAACACTTCCATGGAATTGGCAAAAAGCCAATTCGTGACCCTGAAGTGATAGTAGGTCTCAAAGTGATAGAACCTGAGACTTGTGAGCCGATTCTCCTACCTTCACGTCATCGAGGAGGTAATGGGACAATATGAACATATTCGATTCCTAAGGTACCCTAAATGGCCCACATATTCTTTAATATTCAGCTGTACTAAACAGGTTTTTTTGAAAAGAGTATGTGAAGAAGTTATCACTGCGCCTCATTCTGAACGGTATTTTCTGCTTCGTTTTCATTTTCAACACCGATAGAATATGGTGCTCTTCCTAAAAGAAACTGTTCCCATTTGGGAATATATTCTTCTACTGATGTCCAGTAAAGAGTCTCAAGAGAAACCACCTCTGGTGATGGACTTGGGTGAATCCGGGTCTCTAGAGACTTTTCTGATGCTTCTGTATCCATTAAAAGACCAAGGTTCCTTTTACAAGCAGTCTCAGCGGCTTGCATCTGAGATGCCTTTTCCTTGTTTTCATCTATAAATTTATTCTACCTTTGTTGAAGTAACATTAATCTTTGTGATACGATTTCTCCATGTCTTTTATAAAGGTGAATTTCTTGAGCAAACAAGAACGTCATCTTTAGTCAAAGCTGCCGTATAAGCTTTCTGCTTGGCTGAAGAGCCAGGGCCAATACAGATAAAGATCAAGTGAAGGCTCTGAAGGCTCGGAGCCTGAAGGCAAATCATCCGGTTGCATGCAAAAGCTGCAGGTGACTGTCCCAGTCGCACTCGGACCTCCTCTGTAAAGCTCTACCTTTTTTTTGAACATAATGTCTAGCACACCATACAAAAAAGAAGAAAATGTGACCCATAATCAGGCGGATAAAAAAATGGCCAATAGAAATAGACCCACAGGGGACCGAGGTATGAAAATTCGCTGACAAAGACTTCTACGTAACTATTATAAATATGTTAAAAATTTTAGAAGAAAAGATGGACCAAATGGGAAAACGGATGGTGAATTTCAGCACATAAATGGAAACTTAAAAAAGAACCAAATGGAATTTCTAGAACTGAAAAATACATGTCTCAAAAAAAGACCGTATTAGATGGGTTGGATAGCAACGTGGAGTCAAAGTTAATTTCATAGAGGCTACCCAAACGGAAAAGAATGCAATGGTGCTTTAGCCCCTTTGGGGCGATGACCTCAGGGCCTCACCTTATGCCACAGGGCCCGGAGGCAGCTTCTCCGCAGGGCTGTGTGCTGCCATGCCAGGTACTCATCCACAAGGGCGCAGGTCTGTACATCCTGGGGGTACCAGTGGTCGGGGACCTTATACTTGCGGGTCAGGTAGAGCAGGATGGCCACGCTGCAGGGGAGGGATGACATGATGGGTGGAGGAAGGACACTGTGCTAGGGGCTTAATCAGAGGCCCTTCTTTAATCTTCCTGACGATGTGCCAAGGTATTTGCCTCACTTTCCAGAGAAGGCAGCCAGGCTTAGACAGTGAAGGGACTTGCCCAGGGCACAGGGACTTTGGCGGCAGGGCTGAGAGTCTTTCTGAGGCTAACACGCGAGCTCATGCTCCCACCGGACAAAAGCCCACAGCAGAGTATCCTGCCAGGTGTTCAGAGACAGTCTCTGATCAGAGGGTCAGAGGGCTTCCTGGAGGAGACACCATCAAAGCTGAGCCTTGAATAAGCTCAGTTCTTTCCAGTCTGCATCCATTCTCATCCTCTGGCATCCAGACCAGCCTCAGATGGCCTGACCACTCAAAAAGGCATTCCCCTCATCTTTCTGTTCTCCCTAAAGCACCCTGTAGGAAACACTGCGGCTGCTGCAGGATCATGGAACAGCAGAACAGACCAGGCCCCTGGAGCTCTCCTCCTGCCCTAGGTTATGAGGGCTACCATGGTGTTGGGACAGGGATGGACCCGGAAGGGCCCTGAGGATGCATGAATTTGGGGCCATAGGAAAGCTTTCAGGAACTTGGGGTACCCCAAGTGGTGTGCACCCCAGCCAATAAGGGCAGAAAACCTCTGTTCCCTATTAGGAATCCTGTATCCATGCCCTGGCTTCACAACTCACTACTCTGTACGAGAGCTCCTTTTCCTCCCAGCTAAGGGTTCAAACCACCTCTGAGGAGGGCTGCAGGTCCCCGGGAGTCACAGACCTCCTGACAGTGAGTAAAGACACAGAGGAATGCAGAAATCGCACAATGCTCCTAGCAGGTACCGTGGTGCTCAACACTGGGTGACACAAGGACCCAGGACAGTAGAGAGCAGCAGAAAGAAAAAAAAATGACACTGGCATAGTGTTAGGAATTCTTGGAGGGATGCACCCATCTCATAATTCCAAAGATAGGTTCTAAAATTTCAAGTTCTCCTTGTTATGGGTGGGGTGACTCAGGTGACAAAAGGGGGCAGAACTGGGAAAAAGACTAGACCTTTTCACTTCTTGGGACCTGTTGTGATGTAAAACACCCACATGTCTCATGGTCCTCCCTCGGGTGAGGCCCACCCAGGGAGGCTGCTGCCCACACTTGGAGCCACTGGGTAGCCCAGATGCCCATGGGCCATCTCGAGCCAGAGCGCTGCCCCTGCCCTGCCCTGCACCCCTGCCCTGGGGCACTCTCACCAACAACCACAGGATGGGTACAGAAGTAAAATAGATGTTTACTTGTCCAAGCATCTCTGTGAACTGGACCAGCGGGCAGGCAGGGGTCCAGGTTCCAGCCCTGACTCTCTATGGGATGTTGGGCTAAGAGCCCTTCACCTCTGAGGAGTTTAGTTTTTTGTCTCTGAAATAGAGAGTTAGGGGGCGCCTGGGCAGCTCAGTCAGTTAAGCAGCCGACTCTTGGTTTGGGCTCCGGTCATGATCTCAGGGTCCTGGAATCTAGCCCCTGTCAGGTTCTGAGCTCAGCAGGGAGTCTGTTTGTGGATTTTCTCTCTTCTCCCTCTTCCTCTGCCCCTGACTCAGCTCACTCAAGCTCTCTCTCTCTTTAACATACATACATACATACATACAGACATACATACAATACAATACAATACAATACAATAAAAGGTTAGGACAAGATGGATCCAGTGAGTTCTGGGAGCAGCCCCAGGGCCCCAGTTACCTCTCAGCCAAGGTGAAGTTTCCATCCTTCAAAGCAGGCACCTTCTTCAGGGGGTTCACCTGGGCAAAGGCATCACTGAGGTGCTGGCCTGCAGAGAGCCCATCACGGTGGGTGAAGGAGGAAACACTGAGCCCTGCCCACTCCCTACCATGCCCAGGCCCCAATTTCATGGCTCTTCTCCAGCCCCCAGGTGCTCTCCTGCATGGCAAAGGCTAGTGAGGGCCACTTTGGGAGAAACGGGATGCTACTCTGCCAAATGTTGCAAAATGGACCTCGACATCCCATGCCAAGTGCCATTGGGCACAAGCTCCACCCACAGCCCAAGGTGCAGGATAGGAGGCTTCAGCTGGGCCTTCACACTCACCGTACCCACCACCTCTGCACCATCCCCGGCCTCATTAAGTACACATTCAGGGTGCCCCAAGCTGACAGAGGAGGGTGGTTGGTCACCCGAACGGCGCTCCGGCGCTCTGATTTCTTACAGTGCCCCTTTCCCTGTGGACTCTAAGGTAAGGTCACCAAACACAGAGAAGTGGCTTTTTCCTGGTATCTATTTACTGGCAAACAACTTCCACCCCTGCTCCTCTGTGTTCCCTTGTTCACCCTGCCCTGGCCGCTGGGGACACGGGGCTGGCCCTGCTTTTAGGCTCCGCTGGAGCTGGAACAGTCACATTTTTGTCCCACCTACCGCCCCCCAAAAGGTACAGCCACATGTCCCCTGGGATCCTGGCCTCTGCTTGAGTTTGTAGGGCTGGTGCCTACTCCTGCAGATGCAGTCAGAGAGAAGCTTCTGAAGAGCATTTAGGCTTATCGCCACCCTGCTCAACAGCCTTCAGTGGCTCCCCATCACCCCAGGATCAGGTGGAAGCTCCTCGAAGCCATACATGATTGCCTTAACACTCTAGCCTCAAACACACCCACTATCCTCCCTTTTCCCTCCCCTTAGACTGCGCCTTCACCAGACACACCTGCCCTGCTCTCCTAGTGAAACACACCGCTCTGCACCCTTTATTTAACAGTCTGGCTGGGATATTGCTTGGTCCCCAGGCGCTGTCCCCTGTACTCGGCAGAGTAACCCCTGGGCAGGACAAGTGGGACATCCCCCCAGGAGAAGCCGGGAGAAGAGAGACAGGCCCTCCAGCTCAGAGTGCCCGGCCCAGCAAGCTCCGGCGGCCTCCCCTGCAGTCTCCCCTCAGGCTCCCGGCATACCCCCTGGGGTGCCCCTCCCGGCAGGAACAAGAAGGCAGAGGGAAAGCAGAAGAAGGCAGCGCAGAAGCAGGGACAGAGAGGGACCCCCAATGCAGACTGCGCCGATGCATAGCGCAGGGCTGGAAGGTCGGGACCCTGGTGACTGCTGTGGCAGATTTTCGGCAGTTGGGGACCACAGAGGAGGGACTCGGCTCTGCCGCAGTCTCTATGCTGGGCGCCCTGACCCCCCACCTCCTGCCCCCATCTCTTTTCTGGAGGTCCTCTCTCCCTATGTCGAGATACACCCTGGTTTTGTTCACCAGGTCTCTCTTTTTCCTCAAGCTCCCCACCCCTTCACTCGGCCTCGGCCGAGCCCCGTCGTCTATCCCCCGGGACCGAGCAGAGTTTGGGGGATTACCCGATTCTCGGATCTCCCCGGTGGCTCACCTTTTTCAGCAATGGCCCTAAGAAGGGGTTGGGGCCGATCGTCCTCTTAAGCAATCTTTGGCCTCCCCGTTCCTCCCCGACCTCTGGCTTCCCAAACCCAAGCCTGGGCGCACCTTTGAGCAGGTCCACCGGGCGCAGCTCGAAGGGAATGCGGTTCTTCTTGGCGAAGATGTAGACGGCGCGGCAGGGCTGGGACAGCAGGTCCAGGTAAAGCTCCAGGCCCATGGCGGGGGCAGCAGGACCGGACTCGCGACCCCAGGGACTCCGCGAACCCGAGCGCAGCCAAGAAACTCCCTCGGTCCTGGGGCCACGCCCCACCAGCCTCCGCTCCCCATTGGGGGACTGCAGTCACCCAGGCACTTTGGTCCAATCGCTGGAGGGGCTAGGGGCGCGTCTGAGGGGTTGGGACCAAGAGCGCAGGGCCCAGCCGGCGGGGTGGTGACGCGATGGTCGCCCCTCCAAGGGTCCCGCCGAGGGTCCCCAGTCCTTCGTGACCATCTTATCTCACTTACCGTGGTGTCTTCAAGGTTCATCCACGTTGTCGCTGTCAGAATTTCCTATCATCTCCATTTTAGAGATGTCGAGATTGAGGCAAGAAGTGATTATGGACCCAGAAAGTCTGGTTCCAGAGTCCATGTTCCTAAGAACACTCCCGAGATCGTGATGCCAGCAAGTGGCACAGCCTCAGGGCTTATGTTTAGCATTTTGTGGTAACTCACTCATCTCAGATTATGCTTCCTGTAACTTGGCAGCCTTGGTCTTCCTGCTCCTGCCAGCACAGTGCATCACATTCCCTGAATTTGTTTCTTGCTGTCTCTGGGCCTCAGTTTCTCCAACTTTAAAATGATGGGGAGAGATCCAACAATCCCACTTCTGGGCATATATCCAAAGGAAATGGAAACAGGATATGAAAGAGATAGTTGTGCCCCCACGTTGATCGCAGCATTATTCACAATAGCCAAAACATGGAAATAACTAAGTGTCCGCCAAGGAAGAGTGGATAAAGAACAGGTGGTATGTATACACAATGGAATACTATTCAGCCATGAGAAAGAAGGAAATCCTGCCATTTGTGACAACCTGAATGGACCCTGAGGGCATTATGCAGAGTGAGATAGGTCAAACAGAGAAAGACAAATACGGTGTAATCACACTTCTTTGTGAAATCTAAAAAAAGCCAAACTCATAGAGGCAAAGTAGAATGGTGGTCACCAGGCACTGCGAGGTGGGAAGCCTGGAAAAATGTGTAAGAGTACAAACTTGCAACTTGGAGATAAATCAGTTGTGGAGATCTATCACAACATAATGGTTATTAGTCAACAACATTTGTTGTCAACAACATAGACAACAAGTGTATTATGATTTCCAAGTTGCTAAGAGACGAGATTTTGTTATTCTCCCTATGAAAAAGAAATGAGAATTAGGTGACATAATAGAGTGTTAGCTCATATTACAATATATAAATGTATCAAATCAACAAGTTGTACACCTTCAACTTCCACAGTGTTATGTCAGTTATATTTCAATAATAAATAGATAGGTAGATAAAATAATGAGGAGGCTAGAGCCCTACAGGGCCCTGACAACTCATCACCCCTGGACTCACCTGCTGAGCCTCAGTCTCAGGCCTGTTCCTTACTACCCCGGGGTCCCCCAGAGCATGCCACCTGGCTGGTCATATGGTGTCAGTGTCATTTCCTAACATAAGTCCAACTGAAAATGCAGCCGCAAGAACATAACATTTTCTACACAGTAAGAAAGGTCTTTCTAAAGAAAGCAAATGTTGGTAATAATGATTTCCAAATGAAAAAAAAATTTAAGGAAGGATGAGAACTTCAGATTTCAGATGTTGAAGTTTGAAAGAGGAGCTAGACCCTCAGAGGTGGCAAGTTACTCGGTCCCCACTTCCCGCTGACCCTAGTCAGCACCCCGGGAGGAGCTGGGCAGGATCCTGTCTAGGGCTCAGCCTCAGTCTTGAAGGCTCAAAACCTAATTTGGCCCATGCTCCAGAATTAATCTTTTCCTTAGGATCTGAACTCACAAGAGACTGATGGATTTCTTATTTTATAGAAAAAGAGATAGAGGCCATTTAGACAGAATGCTCCCAACCAATGCTCAGAGCACTCTACAAGTGTAGTCTCCCAGCGAACCTGGGCAAACAGAGGGAGAACAAAGCAAGCCAGACCACCTGCAAGGCACCTTCCAACTGAAAGCTTTAGAGAGTCAGGAAAACCATCTTATTCATTAATTATTGCTACATAACAAATTACCACAAACTTAAAGGCTTAAAACAACACATATGTATTATCTTATACTTTCTGTGGATCAGGGGTATGGGCATGGGCTCACTGGGTCCTCAGGAAGGCTGCAATCCAAGTGTCGGCCAGGTTTCTCATCTGAGAGGCTCAAATGGGGAAGGATCCACTTCCGAGTTCACTCAGGTTTTTGGCTGAATTCATTTCGTTTCGTGGGTAGGACTGAGGGCCCAGGCTTCTTGCTGACCACTCTCAGCTCCTTGCCACAGGGACCTTCTAACATGGTCGCTTACTTCCTCAAAGCCAGCAAGGGAGAGAGTCTCTAGAACCAGCGTGCTAGCAAGATGGAGTCTTGTATAACAAAACATAATCTCAGAAGTGACATTGCACCATCTTTGTCACATTTGGTAGCTTAGAAGCAAGTCACGGGCCCTGGACACACTTGAGGGGAAGGGATTCTATAAAGATGTGACATCGGGTAAGGTCATTGGGGGGTCAGTTTATTTTTTCTTACGATTTTATTTATTTATTTGACAGAGAGAGTGAGAGAGCACAAGCAGGGGGAGCAGTAGAAGGAGAGGGAGAAGCAGGCTTCCCGCTGAGCAGGGAGCCCGATGCGGGACTCGATCCCAAGGACCCTGGGATCATGACCTGAGCCGAAGGCAAGTGCTTAACCGACGGAGCCCCCCAGGCGCCACGGGGGGTTAGTTTGGAGTCTGTCCACCACACCTTGCAAGGCTTCACAGGTGTGCAACCTGTGCAACTGCCCAGCCCTCTGCATCTAGCCCCACAGTTGTTTTAACGCGTTGCTATTGCCATCTTCAAGTTCTTAATAATCTTTGATCAAGGGGCCCCTCACTTTCATTTGTAGCCAGTCCTGTCCAAGGGGTTCGAAGAGCTCAGAAAGCCAGACAGGGCGTTGCTCCGGGCAGTGACAGGAGCACCTGACTAGGAGCTACTCTGCGGTCCCTCTCCTAGGGCCAGCTCTTTCCCTGTGGCATCTCACCCTCTTGACACTTAAACTGCTTCCATCTTTGACAAGGAGCATAGGTGCATTTAAACATCTTCAGGTGAGCGCCTGGGTGGCTCAGTTGGTTAAGCGACTGCCTTCGGCTCAGGTCATGATCCTGGAGTCCCGGGATCGAGTCCCGCATCGGGCTCCCTGCTCGGCAGGGAGTCGGCTTCTCCCTCTAACCCTCCCTCCTCTCGTGTGCTCTCTCTCTCTCTCAAATAAATAAATAAAATCTTTAAAAAAAATAAACATCTTCAGGAAGAAAAACATGTTTTCCCATTGAAGAGTTTACATGACCTAGGTACTTGCTACTCACATGGTGGTCCTCAGAGCAGAAGCAGCAGCCTTGACCGTGAGCTTGTTGGAAATTGTTGAGCTTCAAAATAGAAGTTATTTTACTAGCAAAAATGAGTTTATTCAGGAATAGCAGAGAATTGCAACTCAGGACATGCAAGCTAGGGCAAAAACTACAGACAAATCCCACAAATGATAGGGAGGAATGGTATTTTATTAAGAAAGAAGAAGTTGGGAGGGGTTGTTTTGAACGGAAGTCCATTGGAGAAAACCAAGAGTTCAGGGTGGTGAGGGTTTCTCATTGGCTGTGTTACTAGAGTAATGGATTTGGGTTTTTCTTTTTTCTTTTTTTCTTTTATTTGAGAGAGAGAGTCAGAGATAGCGAGAACCCGAGCGGGGAAGAGAGGGAGAAGTAGGTTCCCCGCTGAGCAGGGAGCCTGATGCGGGGCTTGATCCCAGGACCCTGGGATCATGACCTGAGCCGAAGGCAGACGCCCAACAACTGAGCCACCCACACGCCCCTGGAGTAATGGCTGTCTCATAGGAGAAGCACTAGACATCTCTTTCTGTTGGGGTCTGTAATCGACAAGTCTTCCTGTAATTGACATCAAGTGCTATGGCGTGAGAGGTCCCCCTTCTAGCCTCCAGATTCCATTTTAGTGAGGTTAGGAGACATAGATATGGATGGATATTCCATTACAGATTATATAGATATTCCAATATAGATGAATGTATAGTATTATTGGAACACACACACACACACACACACACACACACAGAGGTTATTATTCAGCCTTAAAAAGAGAGTAATCTTGGGGCGCCCGGCTGGCTCAGTCGGTAGAGCATGCAACTCTTGATCTTAGGATTCATGTCCCACGTTGGTGTAGAGATTACTTAAAATAAAATCTTTAAAAAAATAAAGGTAATCTTGTCATTTGAAACAACGGGGATGAACCTGGAGGTCATTATGCTAAGTAAAATAAACCAGACACAGATAGACCAATACTGCATAATCTCACTTGTATGTGGAATCCAAAAAAAATGAAACTCTTAGAAGCAGAGACTAGATGGTTACCAGGAGATGGGGGAATGGGGAGCTGTTGATCAAAGGGTACAAAGTTTTAGATATGCAGGACGAATAAATCACAGAGATCTAACATGGTACAACATGGTGACTATAGTTAACAGTACCATAGGGTACACCTCACATTTGCTAACAGAGTACATCCTCTTGGTTCTCAACGAGAACCAAATGGCTACTACGTGAGATGGTGGATATGTTACTTAGTTTGATTATGGTAATCATTTCACAACGTTATGTGTATATCAAAACATCACGCTGTACACTTAAAATACATACAATTTTTATTTGTCAATTATTCCTCAATAAAGCTGGGAAAATAAATAAAGAAACCAGGGAGTGGGGCAGAATTGCACTGTCACCATGCTATCAGATAGTTTTAATTTCCCACGTACCTCTGCGAGGGAGGGTACTCGGTCTGGGCTGTCCCTCCTGTGACCCTGAACATCCTTTTATGTTCCTGTTGGGGGTGGGGGCAACTTTCAGTCTTTCACCACTAAGGATGATGTTACCCGTGAGTTTTTCACAGATGCCCTTTATCAGATTGAGGAAGTTCCCTTCTATTCTTTGTTTGTGGAGAAATTCTATCCTGAAAGGGTGTTGGATTTCTCAAATGCTTTTTCTGCATCTGTTAAGATAATTATGGGATTTTTGTTCTTTATTCTATTAGTATTGTGTCTTATATCGACTGATTTTCCTATGTTGAACCACCCTTGCATTCCTGGTCACGATATGTAATCCTTTTAGTATGCGGTGGATATGATTTGCTGGTATTTTGTTGAGAATTTTCGCACCTGTATTTATAAGTGGTGTCGCCATGTAATTTTATTTTCTTGTGCTCTTTTTCTTGGCTTTGGTGTCAGGGTCATACTGGGTCCCTAGTGTAATAACACTCCAACCAGTCTTCAAGCTTCTGTGCTCCTTGCTTGCTGACCTAAGTCCTTTGATCTGTAGCAGAACTTTCCTTGAGATTTGCAGACCACTGGCCATGAGGAGTGAAGGACCAAACTTTCCCAAAAGACAAGGCCTGACTACATTCAAAAACAGCTGCCGGTGAGGCCAGCAAGTCTGTTCAGGGTCTTGTCCACATAGGACCAGCCACCTGGACACCTGAGTCTCCTCCATATAACCCCCCTCCCTCTTCCCTTACCTTCCCATTTAAAACCCTCTGAAAAAAAGAAAAAAGAAAAAAGAAAACCCTCTGGCTTCATCTGGACGGGAAAGATGATCTTTGAGATGTTTGTCCACCATCTTCTCAGGTTTCCGGCTTCCTGAATAAAGCTACCTCTCCTTTCCCACCATCACTTGTCTCTCAAGTATTGATTTTCAAGCTGCCAGAAGCAAAACCTGAGTTTGGAACCGGTTCTCTGCCCAGTAACAATAGAATCAGATGGGAAATGTTCCCTCTTCAATTTTTTTTTTTTTTTTGGAAGAGTTTGTGAAGGCTTAGTGTTAGTTCTTTTCTTTCTTTTTTGTTAAGATTTTTTTAAGATTTTATTTATTTGAGAGCATGAGGGAGCAAGAGGGCAGGAGAGGGGGGAGGGGCAGAGAGAGGGAGCATGAAAGGGTAAGGGGGAGCAGAGGGAGAAGAAGAAGCAGGCTCCTGCCGAGCAGGGAGCCCGATGTGGGACTCGATCCCAGAACCCTGGGATCATGACCTGAGCTGAAGGCAGACGCTTAACTGACTGAGCCACCCAAGCACCCCTGTGTTTTTGTTTTCGTGTGTTAGAGGTATTTTCTAACTTCCCTGTAGTTGTTTAAGAACATACTGTTTAATTTCCAGATATTTGTGAACTTTCTAGTTTTCCTTCTGTTATTTTCTAGTTTCACTCCATTATGTTCCAAGAATATACATGATATGACTTCAATCTGTTTAAATTCATTGAGATTTATTTTGTGACCTGACATAAGATCTATCCTGGAGAATATTCCATGTGCACTTGAGAAGAATGTGTATTCCGGGGCGCCTGGCTGGTTCAGTCGGAAGAGCATGCAACTCTTAATCTTAGGGTTGTGAGTTTCAACTCCATGTCGGGTGTAGAGATTACTAAAAAAAAATAAACTTTAAAAGAAAACAAAAGAATGTGTATTCTGTGGTCATTGGGTCGAGTGTTCTGTGTATATATCCAGTAGGTCCATTGGTTTACAGCATAGTTCAAGTCTTCTATTTCCTTGACGGTCTTCTGTCTTGTTTCATCCATTATTGAGAATGGAGTATTGAATTCATCAACTATTATTGTTGATAATTTAATCATATTTATTTTTTAAGTTGTATTAAATCCAGTTGACTTTTTTTTTACTTTTATATATTTATTTATTTGAGAGAGAAAGTGTGTGAATGCAAACGCACATGAGTGGAAGGAGAGGCAGAAGGGGAGGGAGAGAATCTCAAGCAGACTCTGCACTGAGCATGGAGCCTGACGCAGGGCTCAGTCTTGGCAACCCTGAGATCATGACCTGAGCCAAAATCAAAAGTGAGATGCTTAACTGACTGAGCCACCAAAGCACCCCTAGTTGATTTTTTTTAAGGAAGCTTTATGCCCAATTGGGGCTCAAACTCACGACCCTGAGATCAAGAGTTGCATGCTCTACCAACTGAGCCAGCAGGGCACCCTTAATCATATTTAACTTTTAGTTTTTAAATCTTTTTGGAACCTGGGAAGACCCATGACCACTACCCTCTCCCACACCATGCATACCCTGGGCTCACAGCCCCTGTCCCGGGCTCAGCAGCCTTGGTGGTTGTTCTAGTACTTTATTAAGCAAAGAACTGGAGTTGTTTGCAACATCGCCTCTAAGGAAGGAAGCTCAAAAAGCTTGAGCCAGCCAGGCCCTGCAGGATGGGCTGCTTCTACTTGAACTTCTGCAGCAACTCGCAGATCTTCTCCTTGACCATTGGATCCAACGTTGAACAGTCCCACTCTGCCAATTTCATCAGCCGGTCATGGGCCTCCCAGAAGAGGCCAGAGCCAATAGCCAGCTCCACCCTCATGCGCCATTCAGCTATCTTGGAGCTATTGACGAAGACGTTATACTTGCTTCCCATGGGCTGTAGATAGACAAAGAGGAAGGAGTGGTCAGCCAGGAGGGGGCGGGGACCAGCCTCACCTGAGTCCCCTCCTACAGCCTCAGGGGCTCTCCCCATCTGCCTCCCACAAAGAGTGAGTCTGTGACCCACCCCACCCCCAGGCCCGGGCGAGAGGTCAGAGGCTATGTGATAGACGTGGGGGGAGCAGTGGAAGATCGATCAGAATCTCCAGGGTTCTTGGCCACTGGTCTTGCTCCAAGGCTCCTGAATCCCTCTCCTGAGGTAAGACCTGACCCAGATGGCTCCCACTTCTCCAGCATGAAACTTTCCACGAGTCCTGCCTTCTACCAGGAAATCCCTTGTCCTCCGATGAGGGTGGGGAAGAATTCAGTTCTTGTTTCTCTACATTGAGCCTTCCTCTGTGATCAGGCACAGCGCCTGGAATGGGAGACCCCGCAGGTAGTCTAGGAAACATGCACCCAAGAAGCTCGGGGGCCCCACAAGGGGGTGGGTGTGGGTGAAATGTAAGGGGTAGGGTGTGAAATGTAGGGGACTACACCACCTGGGGCAGAAGAACTGAAGTGGTTTTTCCTGGTGATGGTCTGCCCTTCACCCTGACCAGGGACTAAAGTGGACACTTTGCATACTGGCCAGAAATTATGTTGGTCTTTCAAGACCTTGGCCAGGGTCTAAACTGGCCATCCTGCACACCAGCTAGGTCAGAAGTGGCCACCCTCCCCTCATGTAGAAACCACATAAATGCCCCACACCCAGGTATGCCTCCCAAACGCACAGTGGATGCCCCTCAGATCCGGAGCCATGGGAGCTGCTTTGTAGAGCTATAAGTCTGGAGCTCTAGAAAAGAAGCACTCAGCCGAAGGACACTTTGGAGGGCTCTGTATAATTCCTGGAGAGTCCAACGGGAAGAGGAGGCATCCAGGATCCTGGTGGACTCACTGAGAAATGTTATGTTCTTCTCCCTGTCCCAGGCCTGCCCTCCAGCCCCTCCCCATGCTGAAAAATCGTTGTGAAGCATGGATAATCGTGATCCTCCTTGGTTCAAAATCTGTGCTCCTTGTTACCCCTGGGTGGGGTCCAGGCACCCCATCCCCGGCTCCCACAGTCCTCCATGTCTCCTCCTTTACCAGCCTATCCTCGAGCTATGGCCCCAGTGGTCACAGAGCAGTCTCACCTGTGCCCAGGTTCTGTGCCCGCCCCCCACCCCACTCCACACCTGCATCATCTCCACCAGGGCCACCAGGTCGGCCAGTGAGATGTGGTCCCCAGTGATGAACATCTTGTCCTGCAGAAACTTCTCCTCAAAGAGCTGCATGTTGTTCTTCGCCTCTACCAGCATCTGCTCTGTCTTCTCAGCTGGAACCTCCTCACCTGTGATCATTGGGATCAGCAACTGGCCAGGGGTGGGGAAGGGGAGGGAAGAGAAGGCTGCACTCTAGTCCCATCTGACCCTCCCGTCTTCAGCCTCCTTGTCTGTTGGAGAGGTGTCGGACAGAACCAAGGAAATAAAGTAAGTTCAACTCTTTTAGCGGTTCTGCTTGGTAGAGATCACCTAGGGCCATTGTTCAGGGGGATTTTGAGATCCCAGCAGGAAGTAATCCTGTGATTGGTTAGTGATGTCTGTCACAGGCATGAGATAAGAAGTCAGGGTACATATACGGGCTACTGGTCATCTTCAAAATTGGTGGTCTCTATGGGCCCTTTGACTCTGATGTTTTCTAATTCAGAATGAAATCTCTTGACTCCTCTCCCAGCTTGAGTACTATCAACTCCTTCCGGGTGCCCTTGCCCTTGTTTTTACAAGGCTCTTTCATACCCAGTGGTTCATTCCACACTCGCATCAGCTCTGTAAGGCAGGCAGGGGAGGGAGCCAAGGAAATGAGGCTCAGGAAGGGAGGGAGACTTGCTTGAACTCACCAGTGGTCAGCCATAGCTTTGGTCCCACTCACCTTGATCCAGAGGATCTTGCTCATGGGCAGCTGAATGGCAGTGTGCTGCCAGGCCATGAACTCATCCACGCGGGCGCGTGTGTGCAGGTCTGGTGGGTACCAGTGCGAAGGTGTGCTGTACTTGCGGCACAGGTAGAAAAGGATGGCCACACTGTAGAAAGGGAAAGCCAGGGACGCTGCCCTCTCCCTCCCCGAGCCTGTTACACCCACCACCCCAGCATGGCCTGGGTCCAATGCAGGACCTCCAGCCGGAGGTGGGCTCTAGGCACTGACATTCTTCTAGGGGAAAGACGAGCCCGAAGGGTGCCAAGAAAGGCAGTCAGTCCGCTAGTGAGTGAGTGCAAGAGGGTGGCCAGCATGGGAGTGCAAGATGGGAGTTGGTGGATGGCATCAGGAAGGCAGTCTCGGTGCGGAACAGCACGTACAGGAATTCAGGGGTACTAAGAGGTAGCAATTTGGAGAAAAGGAAAAAGTGTGACCAGAAGAAGGGTGGGGAGAATGGTCAGAGACAGCCAGAGATACTGTGGAGGCACCCAGGGTGCCCCCGGAGATGCAGGAGGATATGGACTTAATCCTCAAGGTTATGGTTACATAAGCAGGAGGATGAGAAAATCCACCTTGATTTTTAGAAAGATCCCTCTGTCCTACAACTCAATAGCAAGAAAACAAATAATCCAACCAAAAATGGGCAAAGAACCTGAGGAGACATTTTTCCAGAGAAGACCTCCACATGGCCAATGGACGCATGAAAAGATGCTCAACATCACTCATCAGCCGGGAAAGGCGAGACAAAAACCACAATGAGCTATCAGCTCATGCCCATGATATGGCTGTCATCGAAAGGACAAGAAATAACAAATGTTGGCAAGGATGTGTAGAGAAGGGAACCCTTCTGCACTGTTGGTGGGAATGCAAACTGGCGCGGCCACTGTGGAAAACAATATGGAGGTTCCTAAATAGAATTACTACAGTACCGGGCGCCTGGGTGGCTCAGTTGGTTGAGTGACTGCCTTCGGTTCAGGTCATGATCCTGGAGTCCCGGGATCGAGTCCCGCATCTGGCTCCCCGCTCAGCGGGGAGTCTGCTTCTCCCCCTGAACCTGCCCCCCTCATGCTCTCCCTCTCTCTATCTCATTCTCTCTCTCAAAGAAATAAATAAAACCTTTGAAAAAAAAAAAAAAAGAATTACTACAGTACCCAGCACTTCCGTTTCTGGATATTTATTTGAAGGAAACAGAAACACTGTAACAAAAAGATATCTGCACCCCCATGTTCACTGCAGCATTATTTAGAAGATCCAAGGCATGGAAACAGCTTACGTGTCCATCGATGAATGAATGCATACAGAACATGTGGTGTAAATATACAATGGGATTCATTCACCCATAGAAAAGAAGGAAATCCTGCCATTCGTGACAACATGGATGGACCTTGAGGGGTTATGCTAAGTGAGATCACACAGAAAAAAATACAGTGTGATCTCATTTATATGTGGAATCTAAATACAAACAAACAAACAAAAACAAAACCGTAAGTACAGAGAACACATTGGTGGTTGCAGGAGGCGGGGGGAGGGGGTGAAATGGATGAAGGGAGCCAAAAGGTTCAGACTTGCAGCTATAAAATAAGTCACGGGGATGTAATTGTGACCAAAGTTAATAAGACTGTATTGTATACTTGAAAGTTGCGAAGAGAGTAGATCTTCAAAGTTCTTACCATAAGGGAAAAAAATCGACAACTCTATGTGGTGATGGACATCAACTACAACTTACTGTGGTGACCATTTCACAACATAAACATAAATTGAGTCATGATGTTGTACACCTGAAACTAATATAATGCTGTACGGCAGTTACATCTCAAAAGAAAGAAAGAAAGATCCCTCCGGTACTGGGTGGGGGGGTTCTGAGGAGGGCGGAGGCCAAGGAGGTCTGGGGAGGGTACAGACTGGAGGCACCATTTGGAGGGGAAGTTCTTGCTCTTGGCTGGCGGGGGGGCAGGAAGGGAGGAATGCAGGGTGGACACAGGCGTTTGAGGTGTCTAGGTCATCTGGGGCCCTGGAGAGTCCTGAGCTGGAGTCTGATATGACATCAAAGTCCAAGGAGCAGGTGCCTGCCCGCCCCACCCTGCGCCCCCTCCCCAACCAACACTGTCTGTGCAGAGTCAGCAGAATAGGAGGGAGCAGAGATGGGTGGGGGGAGAGGACAGGAAGGAGCAGCCTGGGAGGGAGGAGGGAGGGGGGAGCCCCCAGAGGCCCAACTCTGTAGAAGGGGGAAAACCTCAAGGATGGAAATCCTAAATCCTAAATCATCTCAGCTGATCTCACAATAACCCTGTCAGGTGTGTACCAGTATGCTTCCATTTGGGGAAACTGAGGCTCGGAGACACAACTAACTTGCCAAAGACACACAGCCCATGAGTGACAGGATCGGGGATTGATCCCAGCAGCCAGGCCCCATGCCTGAGCCTGAGCCTGAGCCTGAGCCCAAGCCCTGCCACTGTTCTTGACCACCTGGCATAGTATGTGACCTCTGCCCGGCCGACCAGGGGGGTGGAAGGAATGGATAGAGTCAGGTGGGGAGGACAGTGAATGGGCAGCAGAGACGAGAGGGTGGTCCCTAGCCTCC